CCCCCAGCTGCTCTGACAGTGCTGCCTCTGGGGGCCCTGGGTGTGCACTGTCCTCACTGTTGTGAGCTGAGGGCGCCACCACGTGCCAGCAGAGGGCACTGCGCTCCCTGAGTGTGTCAGTGGCCTTGGGCTCATTCTTGGAGGCCCTGAGCCTCGTGGTGGTGACCCCAGGGCCACAGCCAGGAAGATAGTGTTGAGGTGAATGGTACTCTAATACTTCCAGCCTCCCGTGCGTCCTTGTCTTCAGAGTAGACTCCAGCGAGGTTGGCTGGGACTGCCTTAGGAGGCATAGGGTCTTGCGCAAACTCCGTCTGCATTTGCAGGACGGTCCGTCTGCATAGGGAAGCTGCAGCCTTGGGAGGAGCCTGCCCCTGTCTGGAGCCTGCCCTGACCCACACGCTGACCGGCCTTTTGTTGATGTTCTGACCTCCTTTTTAAACACTAGAGGCTCTTGGTTTCTCCATGTGCCTCCTGCGGGCAGTCTCTCTGAATCCCTGCTCAGCCCTGCTGTGTCCCTGCCATGACATGGCCCAAGCCTCTGGTGGCCGGGTGGTTTTTATTTGGAAAGGTATGCCTGCCAGTTTGGTTGCCCTGGAAAGCCCAGGGTGCTTGGTGCTCGTGGTGGGGTCTGCCAGCTTCCTGCTCTGCTGTCTGTCCGAGGAGGGCCTGGGCTGGATTTGGCTTCTGTTTCTGCTCAGACCTGCTGTCGTGAGGGCTTGCGTAGTTGCTGTGTGGTGCTGCTCGGTGGGCCATGTGTCCTCCAGCTGAGAACTTTTGCATGGACCCCTGTAGTCCCGAGGGGTCAGTGGCACCTTGGCGTCCATGCGGTGGTGTGAGTTTTAAGAGAATGGCAGCAAGGGGTGGACAGGTCTGCTTCATCCCCTGTGGGATGCCCCCAGCTCCTCGGTCCCCACAGGCACTGGGAAGTCAGTGGGTCAGGCCTGGCCAGGTCAGGGACCAAGGACTTGGCAGGTCGACAGCCTGTGCTACTTCCGGCTGCTGACTGCCCTGACTTCACCCACACAGCTCCCTGAGGAGGCGCTGGTGTCATTGCTGCAGCGCAAGGGCGCCGAGGCGAGGGCGATGGCTGGCTTGCCTCCCTCACCACCTGCCGAGGGGCTGGGTGACCCTCGCCCGTTTCCCTCAACTTGTTATGGCTCTGAGGTGTGTGTTTTCTTCGTAGCGTCACCTCTCATCCGCCAGGAAGCAGGGCGGCACTTTGGGTTCTCGTCCCTGGGGATTGGGGATGAAGAACCCTGTCTCCCCCTCTCCTTGCATCCGACCAGTTTGCTTTCGGAGACGTGCACAGGCTCTCCGGGGAGGGCCAGAGCCTTGGGAATCTTCTGCCCTGGGCCCTGCGAGCGGAACCGTGTGTGAAGCGAGGTGCAGGTGTCAGGATGGTGTCCAGCTCCTTCTGCTCCCTTTCCCGGCGCAGCAGCCTGTGGGCGTGCTCGCAAGCTGGGCACTGGCCGGGCAGCTCCCGGTGGTGATGACAGCTGAGTCTCCCCTTCCTCGCAGAGGTTTGCTGTGTCCCGGATCACATACTGCCGCCAGGACAGCTGCGTGGCCCTGCTGTGTGACAGGTATGTGCCTGGCAGCCCTGTGTGGCTTCAGTTCCACGTGGAGGTGATGATCGTGGAAGTGGTGTTAGTGGTAATGATGGTGGTGGTGGATGTGGGTGCGGCCGCCAGGGGATGGGCTGGGGAACGGGGCTGGGAGTTGCTGCATTGATCTTCCAGGTCTCATCATCCTCAAGCAGGGGAATTGAGCCGTTGTTGGTACAGTGGGTTTGGCTTTTGCTGATCCTGTTGTGTGTGTGGGATGTGGTTTGTTTCTTCGAAGGTGCTCTCTCACTTGCTAGTTAAAGTTTCTAGAGTGTCGGTGGCCACTGCCAGACTGCCTTTAACAGTTCTTTTGGCATACGGTTCACACATAATTCCATAGTTCAGTCCCATTGAGAAGAGTTGGAGAGTCATCACCACTGTCGATTTTAGAGCGTTTTCTTCTTTCTGTGCTCGTCATGATTACATTCACTGTTACCTGGTTCTGTTTTCACAACTGCCTCTTGATCCATGTACAGGTTCCGGATGTGTTGTGGTTTGGAATTCCCATTCTTCTCAAGGCTGTCCGGAGTGTGTCATGGTCCACACAATCAGTGCCTTGACCTGGTCACTAAAACACAAATAAATACCTTCCTAGTACTTTCTACTTTCAGCCAAGATCCATCGGGCATCATCGATGATATCCCTCTTTTGAATCCAACCTGAAACTCTGACAGCTCCTCGTCAGTGTACTGCTGCAACTGTCAGCGTTATCTCAAGCAAACGTTTACTTGCACGTGATATCAACGATATTGTTCTATGACTTGAGCATTCCGTTGGGTACAAATAGGGACCTTTTCCAGTCATTTGGCCAAGTAGCTGCCTTCCAAGATGTCTCTCCTGGAGTAGACAAGGACGTGCTCCCAGTGCGGCGGCGGCTGGTTGAAACGTGTCACGGGGCAGCCCATCAGTTCGTGGAGCTTGTTTTTGGCCAGTGCTTTCCATGCAGCTTGAACTCCTTCCTTCAGCGCCGTTGGTTCTTGGCGACATGCTGCCTCCTGACATGGTAGCGTGCCGAGACGCGCTTTTTGTGGTACAGTGCCTCTGTGCAGTTTTTCCATCTCCTTTTGACGTCTCCTGCATCAGTCAATGTTTTCCCACAGAATCTTACAGTATTTCAACTGGAGGCTTGACTTTTTTTCTTGTGTTCTTTCCCTTTCAGACATGCCGAATGTGTCCTACCTTTTTGGTTTTCTAACTCCAGGTCTTTGCATATTTTTTTATGATCGTTGGCTTTGTCTCCTCAAGCTGCCCTTTGTAATTTTTCTTTGTTATTCAGATATCGCTTCTGATAACCACCTAGATCTTTTCTTTCCTGTTTTTGTAAAATTGCCATGTCCTTTCTGTATGATTTAATGTTCTTGAAGTCCTCCCACAGCTCATCGGGTCTCTGTCAGCAGCAGGAAGCGCAGCGGCAAATGTGTTCTTGAGGGGTTTTCAGAAGTCAGGTGGGTATGTGGACTCTTGTAGACTTGTTTTAATTTTCTTCAGCTTCGACCTGGACTTGCATGTGAACACTCGGTGGTCTGTCCCACCGTCAGCCCTCGGCCTGATTTTAGCTGCGGATATTGAGCATCTCCATAACAGAGGCAGGCCGTTTGATGGCTGTGTCTGCCACCTGGAGAAGCCCACGTGCCCACGTGCCACCGTTTGTGCTGCTGACAAAAAAGCAGGCCATCGCTTCTCCTGTTCTCCCTTGTCCTCCCACCCCTGGCGACTACCAAAGGATTTCTTGTAGTATCAAAACATTTACTTTTCCAACAACATCTCATACAACATTTGTTGCTTTGTGATTGCTGACTTCACTCAGCATATTGTTCTCCAAACCCATCCATGTCAGTAAGTGTTTTCGTTCGTAGTGATTCTGCTCCGTTGTGTTTATGGCAAGGTTTCTTTAGCCACTCTCCCGCCGACGGGCCTGTCAGTGTTCCCTCTGCTCGCTGTTGTGGGCAGTGCTGTGGTGGACACAGTGTGCATGTCTGCGCATGCTCTGTTCCTACTTCCTTAGAGTACACGCTGTGTAGACGGCTCCTGGGCCATGGAGGAGTGTTTCTCTGCCTGCGTCTTTGTGGACGCTTCACACCCCTTTCCACGGTGGCTGTGCAGTGTGTTTACAGTCCCGTACACAGTGATGAGCTTCTGATGAGCACCCTTTCCGGCACTCTCATTCTCTGTTTTTATTTCAACTAAGCTGTCAGTGCCCGTGGCCCCTGCCCTGCAGAGAGTGGCTGTGCTGTGAGTTGTCCTTGACCAGCTGGCAGGGGGTTTGGTTTGGGAATCACCAGCAATCTCACAGTGTCGTCTTCACATCCATGAAGATGGTGTTTCCCACTTAGGTGCGCCTCTGAGTTCTTGTGGCAGTGTTAAGTTTCCTTGTTCAGGTGTTTAGTTTCTCAGGTGGGTTTACTCCTGAGTAGTTCATCTTTTGTGTGGCTGTTGTCAGTGCTTTGTTTTCTTGGCTTCCTTTTCATTGCGAAGGCTTTCCTTTATTTCCTTGTCAAGTCTTTGGTGTTTTTCGGTTTAGGACCACAGCATCAGCAAATTAGACTTTTGCGTCTTTCTCCGCTGTCCACTTGGATGCCTTTGTTTCTTTGCGTTGGCCGGTAGCTCTGGCCAAGGTTCCCAGCACAGCATTGAAGGAGAGTCAGATACAGGCCATCCCTGTTTGTTGACCCGCTGCCAGGGGAATGCTGTTGGTCTCTCTTCATTGAGCCAGCTGTTGGCTGTTGCTTTTGGGTCCTGGCCTCTCTTGAGTGGAGGAATTTCCCTTCTCTTCCAGTTTCGCGGAATGTTTTTGTCAGGAGTGGGTGCTAGTTTGGTCAGGTGGCTTTTCTGCATCAGGTGGTCTGACGTGTGGTTCTCTGTGTTTTGTTTATGTGGTGCATGGCATCAATGGCTCTTCTAACGCTCCGCCACCCCTTCTGGAGCCCCGTTGTGCTTCAGTAGCTATGACAGCAGCGTCCACGCGGCCCCCAAGCCTAAAATCGTGTCAGAGAGAGCTGCTGACTTGCTCTCACGCTCCGCTGATGGAGAAATCACCTGGGGACTTGTTGAAGCTCCTGGGGGTTCCGATTAGCGGCTCTGGGCAGTTCTGAAACCGCAAATTTCCCCCAGGTTCTCTGAGTGCCGAGGCTGCTGGGTAGGGACCCCACCTGGAGAGCCATTCCTCTGGGGCAGGCAAGCTTGGTGCGTTGTGCCATCCAGTGCCCACACTGCTTGTGGTGGTGTGGTGCCAGACAACACCGTTTCTCTCCATGCCCAGCTTCCCCGTGATCTACATCTTCCAGCTGGACGCCCCCCAGCGTCAGCTGGTGTACAAGCAGAAGCTGACCTTCCAGCACCGAGTGTGGGATGTCGCCTTTGAGGAGACGCAGGGGCTGTGGGTCCTGCAGGACAGCCGGGACGCTCCGCTGGTGCTCTGCCGGCCGGTTCGGGGACAGTGGGAGGTGAGACACACCCTCTGGACTGTGTGGTCCCATTAAACGTGGGGTGGGGTCGGAACGCGATGCTGACTTCCCCTCTATCAATTCTCAGCCCCAGTGTGTGGTGTGTGTGTGTGTGTATACACATGCGCAGGGGCAGTGGGGCTTCTAGCCTAGTGACTGACTGATGAAGTCTGGTAGTAGACGCTCTCCCAAGTTGGAAAATGGCTTTCGCCTGTGAACTTTCACACAGCTGCCCGTCACACACATCTCGTCAGCTTTGAGGCTCCTCTTCATGTGGCTTAGTTTTCGGTCCCCAGGGTCAGTCGCTTTGTGGAGTCAAGTACCTGGGACCCTGAACAGGGGTCTTAGCCGAGCTGGGAAGCCCCTGGTATGGAGAGAAGAGTCGGGGTGGAGAGACAGCCGCTTCCATGAGGGTGAGCCCCGACCTTTGTGTGGGTCTGTCCGACTGTAAACTGGGGGTACTCCTTGTCATAGGGTGTTGCTGCGGTGAGTCCCATAACGCTCGTGGAAGTCCCCGTAGAGCCTCACATGCGTACTGGACTGGGTCTGGGCTCCTCACACCTTTCCGGTATTTCATGTGACAGCACGGTCCCCCGGCATCACAGTCAGGGTAGGGGCTGCACCCGTCCCATCCCTGGTGCTGGGCCGTGCCTGTGGGTCCCGCCATGCCCTTTTCTAAACAGTTTCCCTTCTGTCTTCTTCAGCCTGTCCCTGAAGACCACACGCTGAAGAAAGTCTGCGGCGATCTTCGCGGGAACTGGGCCATGTTAGAAGGTGAGGGTGTCGGCATAGCGGCCTCTCAGCAGCAAGGCCCGTTGTCTACTCAGGAAGGCAGGTGACGCTGCTGTTTGGCGTGTGGGAAGCACAGGGAGTCCGTGGTGGTGTAAACCCTGAGCACACTTCGTTGTGGACTGGCTGGAAGCTTGGCGGGTGTCTTGGAAGAAAGACCTGGCAATCCAGTCCCCCAAATTCACCCACTTGACAACCTGTGGGTCGCAGCTCTACTCTGATGCACGGGAGGCGCAGTAAGCAGGGCTCGACCCATGGCAACTGTGTGGTTTGTCCCGTTTGGTTTAGGAAGCACCCTCGCCCTTAGCCCTGTAGACAGTCAGCCCTCTGGCCATGGCGCCCCACGGAGCGAGGGAGCGGGCTTACGAGCTGCATCTGGCCCCTTCCCACCTACCTGTACCCGTCTCTGCCCAGGCTCGGCTGGTGCGGGGGACAGCTTCAGCAGTCTGTACAAGGCCACCTTCGACAACATGACGAGCTACCTGCAGAGGAAGGAGGAGCGGCTGCAGCAGCAGCTGAGGAAGAGGCAGCGATGGGAGAGCCCACAGCCGGGCCCCAACGGGCACACCAAGAAGCGGAAGTCAGACGAAGTGCCTTTGGGCTGCTAATCCCGCCTCCTGCAGTGACCTCTCCACGTGGAAGCAGTGAGCCCTTCTGCCTGCCCCTCCTGCCCTGGCGTCTGTCTCCTTGAAGAACAGGGTGGATGTCTTGCTTGACGCCGTGCCTAGAGGCAGTGAGGTCCTGCCTGGGACCAGCTGTGGAGGCTGGGCACACCCTTGGCCCTGAAGGCTGCCACGGAGCGTGGGCCTCCTGTCCAGACCCCGTGCTGCCCTCGTGTTGGAGGGCAGCATGCGCTGCTGTCTGTGCAGCTCGAGCTGCTGCCAGTGGGAAATGGCCTGCAGCATTGTATCTGGTCCTTCATGTTGGAGGGAACCTGTGGCCGTGCTCGGAGCAGCTGCCCCTTCTTCTACCACCCCCACGCCGAGGGCATGCTGTACCTTGAAGGGAGGTGTTCACGGCAGCGTGACTCCTATTTTAAGGAGGTCACCGTCTCTCACCCTGAACGTTAGACTCCGCTGCCCAGCACGGTGGTCACTGCTGGCTCACTAGCTTCGTGTGACAGTGACGTTGAAGTAAGATGAACAGCTCAGCTCCTGATCGTCCCGGCTCTGTCTCAGGTGCTCAGTAGCCAGCGCAGCACTAGCGGCCGCTGTTTCAGACGTGCAGGTGGAGAGCATTTCCACCTTCCAGAGCTTGCTCGAGAGGCAGCTCTGGAAACATCACTCTAAAAGGTGATCACAGCAACTTCATGCGTAGTGACTATTTTGATTTAACTGTGTGCACGCTCTGCAAAGCAGTAGGGGCTGCCCACTGAACTCTGATTACTGGGCAGTAAAGGGGAGCTTTGGGCAGCTTGCGGGAACCCTTTAGCAGCAGTGTGCAGGGCCGGTGTGAACTGTTTTGAGCAGAGCCATCTGATGAGCATACTGTTTGCACACAGTGAAACCTTTCCCCCATGACTGGGCGCGTGGACGCGTCAGCTGACATGCTCGGATGGGCTTTGACGGACTTCCCTCGACCCCTGGGTACCTTGGAGCAGCAGCAGTGACAGCTGCAGGTTTCCTGGATGCGCAGGAACAAAAGCAGTTTGTCTATTAAAGCTAGGGTGCTTCACTTTGTTCATAAGTGCCTTGTTTTTATTTTGCTTTGAATGTATCTGCATACGATGCTATTTGTGGAAATGCTTCAGCCCACCCCACAAGGGAGAATTGGAACTACCTGACACTGGTTAGGCCGTGGGCAGGAGATGGGCTCAGGCCAAAGCCCTTCGGAGGCGCCCATTTTGGGATTCTTGGGTATTTCTCAGGTAGAGCTCTAGGTCTGGTCTCACCTGGGCTCCCTGTCGGGGGTAGGGGTGCGGGTGGGTTGGCAGACACAGCCTCAGGCTAGGAGTGGTGCCTGCATTTTAAAGTGTCGGGAGGGGTGGGAGGGTGGGGGGACAGGGACAAAGAAGAGTAATACTCTATCATGTATAAAATTCATAGGAAGATGAGATTTCAGTGTCTCTCAGTAAAGTTTTAGAGCACAGCCATCCCCATTTGTCATGTGTAGCCTTACTGATCTCCTGCCATCGTCACTGGTCACCTGGCTGCAAAGCTTTCTGTCTGGTCTTTTTTTTTTTAAGTCGTTTTATTAAGGGCTCATACAACTCTTAATCACAATCCATACACACATCAATTGTGCAAAGTACATTTCTACATTCATTGCCCTCATCATTCTCAAAACATTTGCTCTCCACCTAAGCCCCTGGCATCAGCTCCTCATTTCCCCCCTCCCTCCCCGTTTAGCCCTCCCTCATGAACCCTTGATAATTTATAAATTATTATTTTGTCATATCTTGCCCTGTCCAACATCTCCCTTGACCCACTTTTCTGTTGTCCATCCCCAAGGGAGGAGGTCACATGTAGATCCTTGTAATGGGTTTCCTCTTTCCAACCTATCCTCCCTCCACCCTCCAAATATCACCACTCTCACCACTGGTCCCGAAGGGATCATCCACCCTGGATTCCCTGTGTTTCCAGTTCATATCTGTACCAGTGTACATCCTCTGGTCTAGCCAGATTTGTAAGGTAGAATTGGGATCATGATAGTGGGGGAGGAGGAAGCATTTAGGAACTAGAGGAAAGTTGTATGTTTCATTGTTGCTACATCGCACCCTGACTGGCTCGTCTCCTCCCCTAGACCCTTCTGTAAGGGGATGTCCAGTGGCCTACAAATGGGCTTTAGGTCTCCGCTCCACACTTCCCGCCTCATTCACTGTGATAAGATTTTTTGTTCTGATAATGCCTGTTAACTAATCCCTTCGACACCTCGTGATTGCACAGGCTGGTGTACTTCTTCCATGTGGGTTTTATTGCTTCTGAGCTAGATGGTTGCTTGTTTACCTTCAAGCCTTTAAGACCCCAGATGCTATATCTTTTGATAGCCAGGCACCATCAGCTTTCTTCACCACATTTGCTTATGCACCCGCTTTGTCTTCAGTGATTGTGTCATGGAGGTGAGCACACAATGATATGATTGGCCTTTTACAGAAGTCTGTGACCCTTGACTTGTCCTTTTTTACCTGCATTTAATTGAAAAAAAGATCTTGAAGGAGTCCTGGTGCATAGTGGTTACACTTTGGGCTGTTAACCTCAAGGTCAGCAGTTCTAATGCACCAGCTGCTCCACAGGAGAAAGATGAGGCTTTCTGTTCTCCTAGAGTTACTGTCTTGGAAGCCCACAGGGTCAGTTCTACTCTTTCCTACAGGATTGCCAGGAGTCGGCGTTGACTTGGTGTCTCTGAGGAGGATACACTACGAACCGGTACCAGTTCAATATTTACCACGTGCAAGGTTCCGTGATGATTGATTACATTCTTTGAGCAACCATTCTCCCTCTCCTTTTCCAAATTGTCCCTTTCCCTGACAGACCCACCGCCCCCAAGGACCCTGTTGCTACTGTCAGCTCGATCCTAGAGAGAGGTCTGAAAAGGACTTTGCTTAAGTTAAACTGCCTTTCGGTTTTAGGAGCCCTCGTGTCAAAACCACCAGCCGCTCCAAGGGAGAAAAACGAGGCTTTCGACTCTCGTAAAGAGTTACTGTCTCTAAACCTACAGAGACAATAACTGGATCGATGAGTCAAAGGGACATGACAGGGAGACTCAGCAAATGAACAAGGAGCACAGGAGGGAGACATGCCCTAGAATGTATTGTGAAGGCCGCACAGCCCAATAACGTGACAGAACTACTGAAACGTCTGCGACGTGGTGGTATGTCTGACATTGTAAAGATGACCTTTTTAAAAATTTCATCTCAGAAACCCACCGGGGCAGCCCTACCCCGTCCTGTGGAGTCGATGTGTATTGTAATTGACTCGATGGCAATGGGTTTTTTTGTTTTGTTTTGTTGGTTGGAATTAGGTTTTAAGAAGACTTGTGGGGGACGTCTTTGTGCTGGGGTTTGAAGATTATGTCAGGGAAATAGTTTTGGGGTTTCATCTGCCTCCGTGGTTATGGAATGTTTGTATTCCATAAGAATTATAAAATCAGTTCTGCACTTCCCACTTTTTGATCAGAATTCTCCTGTAGACTCTGTGATCAGAATGTTCAGTAATGGGAGCTGCACACCACCAGCTCTGATCTCACGGCACAGGAGCTGTGGAGGCGATCGGCCACACATTTCCTAGTCCTCTGCCTGGCTCTCCTTTTGTCCAGGTAAAAATAGAGATGAACTGTGCCTTGGGTTATCTGCTTGCAAGCTTTTAAAGACCCCAGGAAATTCCTAATGAGTCAGGATGTAGAATAGGAAGTCTAGACACGTTCTTAAGCCAGCTAACCGGGATGTGCAATGAAACCTTTGGGACATCTAAGCTAAGGCACCAGATCGCGTGAGGTGTTTGGTGATATATAAGCAGCTACTCTGGCTGCTGCTGTGAATGTACCACCAGCTCTTACCTGTTCAAGGCATCACAGCCCCTTGGACAAGCTCAGTGAACTGTGTATCCTGATTTTGCCTGGACCTTGCCTGGTAGACCAGTCCTTTGTCACATGCCCGCGTTGTGGCAGTGCCTCTTGAACATTCCTTGACTGCCAAGGGCCGGTACAGTATTTGATTTTTATGATCTCTTCACGCTGCATCTGTCACCCCCTTCTTCCCTCCATGACTGCCTAGTTGAGAAGATGGGTTCGCTCTGTAAGATATTAACTGGTGTTGGGTCTCCTCGTGTGGAAGTTAGCTCCTTGACGAGTCCCTCTCATCTGTTGCTCTCTCTCCCTGCCCGTGTTGTGAACGGGGTCACGATTTGCAGAGCAGATTCAGCATTTCATGCACACGGCATTTCATCGAATCTTCTGCCGTCCCCTCAGGCTTACCTGGTTTGCGTCATCTTACCGACTGCAATCCCCACAATGAACATCACTTAGTATACTCCCTTTCGGTGTCTCTGTTTCCAGTCTCCTTTCTTTCCTGACCCGTTTGAGCTTTTGTCCTTGGGCAAATGCTGCCCTTTTAATCTCAAATGGCTGATTAGCGTGTGCTTACCTCTGTGGTGTTAATGCACCTCTTACTGACCTGTCTCTTGTGGGGAGAAAATTGAGCTGTGGAGATGAGTTCAGTTGCAGACCTGAAGGTGACTAATGGCCATAGTCTTGGGGGTCCCACCAGTCTATCTGACCAATAAGCCTGGTCTTTTTTATGATTTTGAGTTTTGTTCTATATCCCGTACCCTCCCCACCCCCACCCGGCCCTCAGACTCTGTCCAGGACCACCTAACGTGATTGATCCCTCTCAGACCAGTGGGTAGTGGTAGCTGGATCTTGGAGACTGATGTTCCTGTGGTCCATTAGTCCATTGGACTAACTGCTTCCTTAGGCCTGTGGATTCCCACCCTTCCTCTGGATAGGGAAAGACCAAGAGCGGCTCTCTCGGCGAGGCTTTGCTTTATGGGAATCCAGGATTTGGCATAACATACCACATCTCGTTATTCGTACCTCCTAGTCTCCTTACTCCAGCTCTTATTTGGGGGGTGATGCCCTAGATTTTATTTCAGTTCTCTTACTGATTAAAAACTGGTGCTCATAATGCTTCATTCTAAGAGTCTTTTTTTCCCTTTGACTAAAGTATCATATACACCTGCACACACGGATTTCCACACACTGAACGAATGCCTGTAAATGCGCCGTTATAAACGGCTCCCCAGCCAGGGCCTGGGAAGCCCGCCTGTGCTCCCTTGCAGTGGTTGCCTCTCCCGTGGGGCACTCCAGGCTGCCCTGGGCTTCTTTTGCTTGTTGTGTTTGCAAGGTTTGTCCATGTTGTTGCATATAGTTCTGGATTGTTCCTTGTTGTTCCCTTGTGTGAAAATACCCCAAGCTGTCCATTCTTTTCTTGATAAGTGTTGGGTAATGTCTTGATCTTCTACTGCTGCTGTAATGAACAAAAGAAACATAAACTATCAAGCGACACATTAGGTTATTTTCTCATGTTCAGGGTCTCACCTGAGACCCTGCTGAGACTCTACTGCAGTGGTTCTCAACCTGTGGGTCACGACCCCTTTGGGGGTCGAACGACCCTTTCACAGGGGTCGCCTGAGACCATTGGAAAACACATATTTCCGATGGTCTTAGGAACCACTGCTCCTCTATCCTTCTCCAGGTGGGTTCACCTAATACAGATACGCCCACCTACGAGTACCAGGCGTAAAGACTGTTACCCATGTTACACCATGCTTCAAGACAAAAGTTCATTTACAAAGCATTAGAAATAAATATTCTACAATATATAAGTACATATTGTTTTTGTGATTAATTGCTATGCTTATGTTCAATTTGTAACAATTCATCCTGCGTATCAGATATTGACATGATTCATAACAGTAGCAAAATAACAGTTATGAAGTAGCAACAAAAATAATTTTATGGTTGAGGGGGTCACCACAACATGGGGACTGTATTGAAGGGCCACGGCATTAGGAAGGTTGAGAATCACTGCTCTAATGTCTCTCAGAAGTGCTTGGATTCAGGGCAGACTCGTATGCCCTCACTAACAGAACAAAATGCTCTTCTCCGTCAGGATTGTCTTAAAGGTGCAGCAGGTAAGGCGTCATCATAACTTTGGGGGACACATTCTGTAACAGGTAGCTTGCTAGTTT